TCCATGGTGGACTTGGGAAAAAGGGGGTGGTGCATGGTCCATGCTGTACTAGCCCACACAACCCTCCAGCTAATGGGCTGCTTTCTCTTGGGTCTTCATCCTCTTTAGCTCATCTTCCTTTGACCTGTTGACGACGACTAGTTGCTTGAACTTCCGTTGATTTGAGTTGGCTTTGAGAATTTGCTACGTAGATGCCATGTTTGACTAGGCTAGTACAACGGGTAGGATTAAGCTATTCCGACAACAATTCCCTTCTCCAATACCAGGGAATACTTATACCGTGTTTTTGTAGTGACCATTTATTTCCTTTCATTTTGAAATCATTACCAAACAATCACTCCCTGATTTGCTTTCATTTTCTGTTTGCATCAGATTTCGAGCACGTTTGGCCCTGCTTTTTTGTTGAAGCTGTACATAGCAGGAGCACTTGTTGGATCCACATTCTTCTTGGTAGATAAGGCTTTTATAGCTCCAAGGAGACAGGTAACATACTGTGGGAATGATTATGTAGGATGGACCCTTCAAGAACCCTGCATGGAATTGAAATTATTGATTGGAGTTTCCTGATAGTATTCCTAATTTAGCAAGTAACCCTTTTCTTGCAGGTTCATGCAGGATGGAACATGTTAAGAAGTAACGCGCTTGTACGTGATTTCTTGTTCCAACTTCCAACAGTTCATTTTCCTTAGTATTGATTATGAAAGAATGTATAGTATCTCATATAAGCAGTAAATGTTACCAACCAAACAATTACTCCCTCCGTCCGAAAAAGCTTAGTGCTAGATACATCCATTTGAGGGACAAGCTTTTTCGGACGGAGGGAGTATTTATCATCTTATACCTACACATAGTTAATTAGAAGGTAAATGTGGCAACCTGGGGTGATATGGTGATTTACCTGTTATATAATGTAAAACCACCAAATGAGCATTATCACCTATCAGTGATATTGTACATAAATGTTCCTATTTAGTTGTTGCACACCAAATATGACCTTTTTTATTCATGTCACTCAGGGTGCAAGTGCTGCAGTTAATGCCATTGTGCTTCTTCACATTTTTCTCAAACCAAAGGGACTAATCTACCTTTACATGATCATTCCTGTTCCAGCTGCCTTAGTGGTGAGGATTTTTTAGTTTCCCTTGTAAAATTCGGCAAAGCATGTGGGTGCTAGGAAATGAGAGCATAATTTCTTTTGACTTTATATATTTCAGGGGGTTGCTTGGATTGGTCTTGATTTGTGGAGGGTGAACAAGGTATACAAATTTTTAACTAACTCTCTGTTAGGTATTCTTCGCATAAGTGAATGTTATCAGTGCCACTCTGTTGCTTATGCTCACCAGCTATCAGTTTTCTACAAGAGTTTTGGGGCACTGTTACTTTCATTTGTTCATTGCTTGGAAGTTTGTTAGTTGCATTTCTGAGTGTTTGTGTGTTGCCTACCCGCACAATTCCTGGTTTTAAACCAACCTGGGGTTGAAACATATATGAATCAATATTCATGTCTACGGTGATTGGAATAATATTCTAAATGTCTGGTTAAATAATTTGCTGATTATAAACCATGTAGTATCTTTTTGGCTGTAGTCTTTCCTGGCTTGTCTTCTATCTTTGTACCTTTTTGTCCTATAATTGCATTTTATCCTATGCTGAGATGAATGTACTTGAAGGTAATCACTGGTCTGGCATTGTGATCCATATAGTATCGCAATCAAGCTATGGCACATGTATAATTCCTTGAGTATCTCATTCTATCGGACATCTTCAGCTTGTTGTTTCTCCGACTATCTTTGATGTTCTTCTAAGCAAATATTATTTGTGATAGCAAATGAATTCTTTGTGCTTGTCGTGCTTACCTGGTCTTAAGGCTAACTGATGCATGTTCAAATTTCCAGGGTCAGGGTCAGACATCAGGTGCTTCTCATTTAGGGGGTACCCTAGTGGCTGCTCTTGTGTGGGCTCGAATTAGGAAGGGCTGGATCTGATCACGCAGCTTGTTCATATGGAGCAAATCCGACCGACTTTCCACAGCTGGTGGTCTCTCCGTTTGAAATTTGTTGTTACCTGAGAAAGTTCTTGTGGGTGAAGGGAATACTCTGCTGCTTATCATCCAAGTTTCTGATCTAGAAGTCCTCAAACAAATTCTAGATAGCATCATGGCAGATATTGCCAACTGATTGGCCGGAATTTACAATCTTATCATTGCAGCTTGCAGGAGCAATAACATACCACAACTAGATTGCAATATCCCGATAGGGATATCCTATTCGGCTCCCAGGAGCACGTGCCATTTTTTTAGAAGTGCTATTTACCTCGCTAGGCCTAACGTTATGACTGTGGACAACATGCGCCATTACAAAGCAGGTAGATCAGGACGTCCACGTAGTAAAAATGGAATGGTTAAGGAATCTGTTCATGGATATCTGAGGTCTTTCTTGTTTTCTGCCGTAACCACACGATGGTCCTATAGTACATTCAAAGTTGGTGATGCCCTTTGTGTTTTGCAAATATGTGAGGGGGTGGAGCGAACGAAAGGTTTGCTACGACCCATCCCCCGCGAACGATTTGGTTCGATAGGCAAAACATGGTGCTCCTATAGCGCTAGATCTAGTCCCTGGCGCTCACGCACCCCCGTTGGTATGCCGGCCCAAGAAGAAGCGCAAGCGATCAACTAGTCTGGTCTCTCGATCGTGTTTGACCTGTCATGGTTAAAACAAAAAACAAACAAAAAAGCGCTAAAAATGGGAAAAAAAATGTGAATCCTAAAATGTTCATGATTTTGAAAAAAATTCACAAACTTCAAAAAAGTTCCTTGATTCGGAAAAAAATGCATTGATTTTGAAAAAAATTTATTGTATTTTTAAAAAGTTCATCAAATTGATAAAAAAATTCATCAAATCTGAAAAAATATTAATCAAATTTGGAAAAAGTTCATCAACTTTGAAAAAAAGTTCACCAAATTTGACAAAAAGTTCATCAATTTTGTGAATTTTTGTCAAATTTTAAAACATTCTTCGATTTTGAAATAAAATTTGGAAAAAGTTCATAAAATTTGAATTTTTTCATCAAATTTTAAAAAATTCATTGAATTTGAAAAAAAGTTCATGCACTATGAAAAATAAGGAAAAATAATAAAGGAAAGGGAAAAAGGAAGAAAAAACCAAATAAAATGTCACATCCCTAGTCTGCTATGCACCTACGCTAGTTCTCATGTTTGCATCATGCTTAAATTTCATTTAATTTTGAAATAGGATTGATCAAACCCTAGCACCACATTAGTTAAACTAGGTTTAATAAAATACTTTTCAATGAACTCAAAATGCCTGTCAAAAATGTCTATGGAAAAAGGTGAAACCTCAACCAGAGATGGTGCACATTTTTTCATAGCATTTATGGCCTTTGAATTAATCTATATTTTATTTGAATTGGAGTTATAAAATTCTATAATTAATTTTATAGCTCCAGTAGTTATGAAAATTATGGAGGATCTCTGAAATATTCCATTTTGCACCCACCATTTTTTCCAAATTTTTTAAAGTTGATTTGGTACAGAAACTAAATCAAAAACAGAGGAAGAAAATCGAAAAACATAAAGAAAAAGGAAAAACCTACCTGGCCTGGCACTGTAGCGGCCCACCGGCCGAGTGCCAATCGTCTTGTGCACGCGCCCCATGCGCGCGCACACACACCGTGCGGCCTCCTGCTCGCCTGACCGCCTCTCCCGCCATTTCGACACCGCAGATAACCTCGCCCCTGCCGTCCGGATCTAGCTGACCCTCTCGTTCACTCTCTTACTCGGTCCCCTCCATGGCCGAAGCAACCGCAACCGCACCATCGCCATACCTCAGCGACTGCACCTTCCTCGCCCTCTTACCGTGTCAGACAGGTCTGCCTCGTCGCCTGCTTCGTCTTCACCGAGCCATGCAACGCGGGAGGCCTCGCTTCACCGTCACGGCCATCGTCTTCTTCCTCAGGCACCGGAGATCGCCATCGTTGTTACATCATCGTCTGGCCTCCCCTGAGTCCGCTGAGCCTACCCGTTGACGCACTATGAGCCCTCGGTCCTTTCTCCCCTAACCATGCTGCCGATTCCGTCCTGATGCGAAGCATCCCTCGCTCATCCCCATGGACGTACCTACATCTCCCTCAACACCACTTGGACCCATGACAAGAGCTAGAGCAAAGGCTATCGAAGATAATGTGAACTCGCTCCTCTCTGAACTTCCTCTCTCTACTCACGAGACTTGGCTACTACCTCATATGGACACTGTGTGTGTGATCAGGTACTTGGAGGAGAGCCACGGGACAGCTACACCCAATGGCCAAGGTGGCAAGGACTCCAAGCATGGACATCAAGAAGAAGAGCCATTTGTGAAGATACAGGCACCGGACGACCGGCCGGTCCCGGATGTCCGAGCCCTGGGAGATGCTACAACGAGGGAAGGAAGGCAGGATAGGGCTATAGGCCACGGACGACCGGCCCGGCTCGGACGTCCGACGACTCCCAGGGCCACGGACGACCGACGCCCTCCGGACGTACGGCAGCTGGGCACCCGAGAGGAAATTAGCGGAAGACCGAAGCCACCGGACGACCGGGCGACCAACACCGAGCCAAAATTACAGAAGTCCGACAGCTACGGACGTCCGGACCGTCCCGAAGCCCCGGACGTCCGACGTCTCCCGGACGTCCGACACCTGAGTGACCGCCGCCACGGGCTGAAGCCCTTGTACCCCTTCACTTTGACCCCATTTACACTACAACTATATATAGGTCTCGCCCACCTCCTAGCTAGGGTAGCGTTGTGATAGCTCATCTTGAGATAGAGCATAGCTCATCCGTTCCGGATCTACTCCACGTGAGGGACCGTGCCTCCTCGGAGAAGATCCAGTCGGATTCAAGGCCTCCATCCGGAGAAGACAATCAAGACCTCCTCACGGAGAAGAACGGTTACTCTTGTATCTTTCCTTTGTTGATTTTGAATCTTGTGCTAACTTATGCTTTCGGTGATCTAGCCCTTGTGTGATCGACTACTTGTCGGTTGAGTGTTTCTCTCGTTTCTCCCCGTGTTTTCCCTTGTGTTCTTCCGCGCGTTGTTCGTGTTCCTCCGTAGGATCCACTCCAAACGTGAAAGATCGGCCCCATAGGGATCCGCCCTACATTATCTTGGTATCATGAGCCACATTGATCACGTTTTTGGAGCCCCTACCCCGTGTTTCTAGCTTGATTTTGTTGTTTTCGTCCTAAATCCGAAAATTCCCCACAAAAATAGCCCCCCAATTTTTTTGTGATTTGTTGGTGAGTTGAGGTTTTGTTGGATTTGGTCCATGGATTTGAGTTGCCACGTGTGGATCTAGCTTTCCCCACCCTCCCCACCCTTTTCCATCCACAAATCCGCTCGATTTCGACCTCACCATCTTCCTCCACCCCGAAATCGCGCAGTTCATCCCGTGCCCGATTTTTGCCCAGGTACCGGACGACCAGACCCTACCGGACGTCCGACGACCGGATGACTGTGACCTACCGGACGTCCGTGAAACTCTGACGAAACTGAATATTTTCAGTTCGGCCACCACCACGACCCCACATTCCACCACCTCTTCCAAACCCACATACACCACCATCATCCCCAATACCTCCTATGACGATTTTGACACGTTTTGGTCTTTGAGATTTTGAGTGTGGCTCCCGTGTCCTATTGTGTTTCGGCTATATAGGTACGGTTCGACATCATCATCACTGCGCTCATCTTCGCAAGGGTCTCATCATCGCCAAGGACGGTAACTTCGATGACATCTTTGTCATACCTTGCAATTGCATTGATACCCACATGGCCTTACTTTTGTGTAGCTTACCCATCGAGACTAGCCATTGAGTATTGCCGGCAACGTGACTTGTGCACATTAGTGATCATACACCATAGCATACATACCATACCATAGTGGTGCATATCTTGTCATCAACTTGTGTGTCACAAAGTTGTCTTCGCATACACAATTGCTATCTTGGTTCGTGAAGTTTTGCATAAGAAAAGATATCAAAAGTGAAAGAGCCACCAAAGCTTTTAAGCAAAGAGGAAAGATAAGCAAAGAGCTTATGAGCAAGAACCATAGCATCATACTACATTAAGATTGTCATATCGGATCATCTTGGATCATAGCACCGAAATACCATACATATAGCATACTTGGGATCGAGATCGTTGCATTTTGCCTAGTAGGTTGTGCACAAGTTTTGTATCCGCCTATTGTGCAATCGTGCTAGCGTCTCTCGTGTATTGTGCAACAAGAGCATTTTCATGGATTCCACATTTTGGCTCACTTTTGGTTTGCACAATCCCACTTATCTATTTGCGTGTGTGTTTCCGTGTACCATTATTTTCTTGGTCTACTTGTTGCATTTGCAAATTTGTGAATCATTTCCAACATTATTGAAGCTCACTTACTATTACATCAAATTTTGTGCCACCATCCTAACCAAGCTCCACCATAAGCTTTTACTTGTGTAGGTGTGATAACCGACAAGGATTGATACCAATAGTGCTATTTCATTGTCCTCATTTGAGTGAACTTGATTCATCATCAACATCAGTCAAGGTACATTGGTATAAGTTCTTCTCCTTCTACCACTCACATTTTTTGCTTGGAATGATGGATAGGCCGAGTACTTCTACCAACCCACTCTTCATCGAGCAAGACGACGACATGTCATCATACGTCACCAAGAGCCACCTCTTTGGTGCACAATGGGCGTTACATCAAGAGCAACAAGCAATGAACGACCGCATCGACAACCTCGCCACCGACTTGCGACTCTCCGAGCAACGTACACGAGACTACTTCGACAACAAGCTCGACGCACACAAGCAAGAGAATTATGCAAGAATGGACAAGATCCGAGCTTTGTTGGTGAACCGTCCTCCTTCAACTTCTTCATACTCAAGATGGAGCCATTCAAGTCGACACTCCGACGACTCCTTCTCTGGCT